TTCTTGTCGTTGAAACATAGACAACTACTTTATTCAACACTACTAGTTACATTATTTAGCATAGACAAGTACTTTATTCAACGCTACTAGTTACATTATTTAGCATAGACAACTACTTTATTCAACACTACTAGTTACATTATTTAGCATAGACAACTACTTTATTCAACACTGTTAGTTACATTATTTAGCTTAGACAAATATTTTATGCAACACTCCTAGTTACATTATTTAGCATAGACAAATATTTTATTCAACACTGGTCTATGCTAAATAATGTAACTAGAAATATTTTATTCAACACTGCTAGTTACATTATTTAACTTAGAAGAATACTTTATTTAACACCAGTTATTTTGTTTAACACAACCTGGTAAGATATTTTAAGTTACTTCTTAATGTAGGAAAGTCCTATCCACACCAATAAATTTGAGGTACTTGCATTGTAATATTTTACAACCTCCCATATTCCTTGACTGACTGAACCAGCTCATGGGCCTAGCAGTTTACAATTCTACCATTCTAGATTTGCACTTCCCAACAGCTTGCTATAAGAAATTGCTGAGTCCTCCCGTGGTACCGAAGGACTTAGGTCATGCAGAAGTGGGATTATGTAACTTCTCTATGGACGACTTTGCTGAAGTCATGCCGGTGAGTGCAGAATTATTTTTATAGCTAAACGTGAATAAAAGATTCATTGAATTTCGTTATTAATGACGTCACTTTATAATGTAACTGCATATGCATAAATCTTGTACAATGTAAACTTCAATGAAGAGTGTGCGATAAATTTCGACCAAGACATTTAGATTATATATTTATCGTACTTGACACTTCTTAACCAGAACCAACTAACTGATCAGGACAAAAATCCCAAGGCTTAGACATGGTCCTCTCTAAATTACAATACTAATCAGCGAAAGGACAACTAGTCAGTAGAACTTGGTGTCTACGTGGTGTCTCCCACACCTGAAAGCGCGATTTGTGTTCAGCAACATATTGCGGTTCAAACCTTGGGTCTTCCTATATGCAGCTTAACAACCAAACTACCAAACTTGGATCAGGCTTTCAGACGATGTGATCGTTGCCAGAAGAGCACACAAGATTTTAACTTTCAACAAACGAAATAACAATTTCCAGAAAATGGAAACAAATACTGATAAATTTCAGTTATACTCCAGTACTCGAAAATACTGCACACATACACTAGTAAAATACACCTGATAGATTTAAGTACTACTAAGACTTCAAAATAATGCATACATGTATAACTGATAAATTTCGGTTTTTACTCAGAAATGTTGTAAATTAAATCAGAAATGCGACACCTGGCGATTTTAATTCCTACAAATACTTCCAACCTGTTGCTGCTATTTTGAAGGTTTTTATTTTGCCAGTTGTATAAAGTGAGTATTACATACACGTGTTCTGTTTCTCCAGGACGTAGCAATTGGGCTGAAGGAACTACTTGTTTATGAGGGAAACGTGGAAGAGGATTTCTGCATGAACTTTCAGGTTAGGGAAGTTTATTAGTTGTACTTATACTGAAAGAATGCAGAGTAACCGAGTTAACACCAATACTGATTTATCTAGACATAATGTTTACAAGTTCAGGGTAGTCAGACCGCGTATTTATTTAACACAAAATCTCACACAGTTTAGCTGACCAGGGAAACAGACTAGTATTGTGTAGGTTAAACCACCGAAGACAATAAGGTGTTAATATATATATATATATATTTAAATATATATTATTGGAGATACAACTGTTCAGCTAGAGACACCTGGAAATGCCGAAACGTTGTAACTACAACAGTTAGTATCAATATACATATGTATCTGTGATTAACACCTTGTTGTCGTCGATGGTTTAACTTACTTCGTACTTCATTTTATTTTCTATTTCATCAATCACCGTAATTTCTTACACAATTTTATACCAGAGGAACAGACTGTCGTTTCCATCCTAGATTAAAATGATAACTAATAATTCTAAGAACTCATTCCAATAAGTGGTAATATAGTTTATTCTGCCCTAACCTTTGAAAATACCGGGCAAATAAAGGAAAAGAAACATCTTTAAGTCGATATAATCTTATAATTGTTGAAACTGTCTTAGTAAATGGGCTATATGTGCCCAATAAACCTCAACTTTTATCGTTAAAAGAACTCAAGCTTGCCTCTGAGCCACCGGAGGTTTTTAATAAGGCAGAATGACAATTTTTATTGAGAATGAATAGTATTTACTGTTCTAAAAGAGTGATTTTGTAACATTTATACTAGTTAAGCCTACAAAG